CAGGAGAGCGGACAAAGTGGTGAGCAGTGACTTTGAGTGACCCGGAGTTCAGGCCGCACGATGGCCAGCTTCGCACTGATCGCGGTGCCCGCCGTGCTGCTCTTCCTCTGCGGGAGAGGAGCGGACAGCTCAGGTAATGTTATCACCTACGGGGGTAGACATAGCGGCCTTATACATCCGGGCACCGCTGTGTGTGCTGAAGGGTGGTGGGGAGGGAAAGGGCACTTCATCCATCTTTATGCAGCACTACCGCAGCGTATTCCGTCATGGAGCTACCTCTCGTCCTGTATTACTCATTGGGGGAGGTTTAGGCCTGCTAGGGGACCGCTGTATGGAGGCGACTGGGAGTACTAGCTCTGATATATGGTACTGACAATTACATGAATTGTGTGTTATATGATCCTTCCCAGTTCTGTGTTCAGTTTAAGTAAATGGTAGATATTCAATAAGGCTGTATATACCCCAAGCACCAGTTAGGTCATTGCTTAGAACAGCATTTTTTTTTAAAATTTTGGATAGACTTTGAGTAACACCCATGTTAAAATGATTGTCTTCCCTGCTATTTCTCTCCCTGGGGAAATGGCTCTTTACTTCCTGCCTCCACAGACACAACAGGAAGTGACATACATAGTGCAATCAGATTGCAACATCTCCTTTTAGATCTACCAACAACTATGTAATGCTGAGAACTGTCTGGATAGATTAGGTAGGTGCTCAGGTACGAAGATTGTATGGTTAGGTTGTAACATGTAGCGTTAGCCTAAAGCAACCTTCCAGGGGTTGTTAGGTGTTTTTTGTTGTTGCTTGAAATGAACAGTTTCTGCCTCTTTGATAAGGGGAGACCATCTAGGGTAACGGGAGGATGCTAGTTTGTGTCCTCCCGTTACCCTAAGGAGAACTATGGGGGAAAGCCCTGACCCCATAGTTCTCCTTTTAAGAGACAATTGCTGGGAGAGTAAAACCTTCTCTATCCACTGCTTAGGTCCCGTTCACATTGAGCGATTTATTGCGCGGTAATTCCCGCGATATCGCAGCAATTTACCGTGTGATATCACTCTCCCAATTCTTCTAAATGGGGCAAAGGGTCCTGCTGTCATGTGTCGCTACAGCAGGACCCTTTTTGGAGCGGATTTAGCTGCGATTCAAGCTTGCTCAATGCAAGCATTTGCGCGATATCGTGCAAAATGCAAATCCCGCGATAAACGCGCGATTTGCAAACCGCTCAATGTGAACGGGGCCTTAGAGTTGATGAGGATCCTGCAAGGCCTTGTTTAGATGTGTGGTAGACTCCACTGTCCTAAAAAGGGCAGTGGATCACTTTTCTCTAGGTAGCAGAGTAGTGGTATCCTGGAATTCTAGAGGTCACTACCCCACTCCAACAGTTTGGCAGGTACCACCACCTTCCAAACGCACAGTTTGCATTTTAAAGCAACGTTTCGGAACCAATCACGGTTCCTTCAGGCAAACTGAAGAAGGAACCGTGATTGGTTCCGGAACTTTGCTGTAAAATGCTACACTATTTCTAGGTCAATAAACAAGATTGACTTGGCATTGCATCTGCTGTCACTGCCTCACCCGTCCTATTTTACCTGGGCTTCCATCCGGTCAGGATGCAATTTCTAGTCACATTGGCAACGTGGGATTAGTTGAGCCCTGATGGCACCTTTTTAAAATCTCTGCAACCGAGCAGGGCTACTTTTACAAGATGAAACTTGGAGTATGGTAAGCTGCTCGGTCTCACAGTAATCCTCTTTCCCTCTCTGCCCTTATGTGCAGCTTGTGATTCTGATACATTTCTAGTTCTGAATCCCTCATGTAGCCTTCATTCTTCTCTGTGGATGTAGTAAACCTGTTAAGATAATGTTGTTCTCACTAAGGGGGACCTGTTAGAAAAGCTTACAGTAAAAGGTGCTGTGTTTTATAGTTCTTCATTCTCTTCAGAAGAATATCATCATAACTATATTTATTCTCTTAAATACAGGTGACTAAAAAGGTTGAACTTTCTCTGAAGTGTGCTAAATACCAACATTATCCTTTTAGACTTTACTTGTATGCAGTTAAGTTTTGGACACCAGTTCACAAAAGATGTTGTGGAACTGGAGAAAGTGCAGCGAAGGGTGACCAAACTCATAAGAAGTTTTTGTTCCCCGTGGTCCTTGTGTGTTGTGAAGTAGTGACTGATCCAAGATCGCTCCTGTAATGGGCTACAATCTCTGGTGTAGTTTACAAATTTGTATTAAGATTGTAGTCCATCACATGAGTGAGCTTGGAGCGGTGGCTACTTTACAACACACACAGGGACCATGGGGAACAAAAGTAGCCACCCTCCAGAAGGAAGGACAGTGTCGGCACTAATTCAGAGAGGATTTGAGGATCTACAGCTGAGTGATACACAAATGAGTGTTAATAGCCAAGGTACTTGAATGCATTTTTAGGATTTAACTCCTGAGTTTAATGTCACTAAGTTCCATATACATTTACTCGGTCCATTACAATGTGTCAATGCATGTTGCGTTGACACAGCGCATTTGTTGAACTGTCCAATACTTGAGCTCTGTCCTGCATTGGAGTTCCCCCTACAATAACCTAATGTTTGCCTGTGACATGATTGACTAAATCAAAACAATTACTAAAACAAAAGGCTATCTTCTAGCAATACAGTATGGGGCTGATTAAATATATATACTGTGAAGTCCATCGACTAGAGCAGTGGTTCTCAACTCATGGGTCGCGACCCAAAAGTGGGTAGCGAGCCCTTCTGCAGTGGGTCATGACTTAATGACCAAGGACAAATGTGGGTCCTGAGGTTACACAGGTTGAGAACCACTGGACTAGAGGGCTTGTTTGTGCTAGAGATGTTTCAAGGGGACAAGGTTGAAGCCTGTAAGAGCAGTGATGGCGGCTTGACTTATTGCCTGTTGGCACCTGTTTTTTTCTGAGCAGAACCTAAATTATTGATCTAGGTTATGTCTGGTAAGTCTCCATAGTTCTGAGTGGATAATGGCTTTAAGTTTTAAAACAGATGAATAATATTAAAGCCTAATGCCAACAAGCATTATTTGATACAAAATAGAACATGTGGACCTGCTGCAGAATCCATTTCTGCATGTACATGTTAGAGGGCCATTTTTCAAGTGGTAGGATGTTTATGTCAATTAAATGTTGGCTTGGCTTTTAATTGGGTAAGTGATTAACTGAAGAAAGATAGACATGAGCTTAAAGGTTAACCTAACTGAAAGACCTCCTTAAATCTTGTTTTGGTGTTAAGCAATGATTTACATGTTCGGGTTGATTAATCCCTATGCTGCATATACACGGTAAAATAAACTTTAGGTCACACTCTGCTGTATTTCTTTTTAACCTCAACAGGCTTTATAAAATCCACCACATGGCATGAACTGCATAATCACTCCTCATGCCCTACGATTAAGCCCTGATACGGCGGGAAACGAGTCCGAGGAGCCATTATTACAACTAGGGATGCACCAATACCAGTATCGGTGTCGATGCTGAGTATTTGGGTGTGCTCGTACTCTCCCAAATGCCCTGATACTTGCCTCCAGTACACTAACTTCCGGTCATAGGGAGAGCTCCTTCTGACTGGCAGTGCCGATGGAGCATGGAACCAGCTTAATTTCCAATCAGGATGCTGGCCGGTGGCTTATGTCCCGGCTTCCTAATGGTCAGGTTCTTTTGGTCAAATACAACTATCCTCTTGCATCCCTGGAGTTGGGTAGCCAGTGCTTCTTAAGAATTACAGCTGGTGCCTAACTTCATAGGTTTTCTTTAATTATTGTCAATGGAACTGGCTCCTGAATTCCATACCAGTTTGTCCACCCCTGGCTTAGTGATGCCAGTTGTGGAGGTTTAAAATGACGTTTGCCTGGCACACAGCACCAGTGGAGTTTTTCCCCTTTTGTCATCCACGTTGCACCTGCTATGACATGCAATGGGTTTCATGAAAGGTCTGTTTGCCAGCCAGGAACCTTAATGTGTGGTTTAGCTTGGACATTTGTTTAAGACCCATGAAATACATTTTACTCCATCTCTCTTTGCAGGTGCAACAAAATACTTTTAACTGTTACCAAGTTTCTTTCTGAGCAGCACACTATATAGTTGATTGTAGGGCTGGTACTGATTAAGATTTTTGTGTTCGATTAATCAAATTTTTTTTTTTTTAATCGATTAATTATAACGCACATACAGTTTCTCCGATGGGACTCCTGGAAGACCCAGAAGCCGGCGGGGAGGTGAGTGTTTTCATTATTGATCAAAATAATTTTAATCGATCAAAAATATAAACTATTAATCGGCTAATTAATCTTATATTTCCGCAGCCCTAGTTAATTGTCTAAGCTTACAGGTTACTGTGGTGTCACAAAGTAGGGTCCTGCCTGGAAAGTGCCTCTCCACATCCCCATGGCCTGCTGACTTACCAAACTTCAAGCTGTGTGTTTCCCTGTCACTTGATTTCTTGTTCAGATGGGTGGGAGGCCGCTGAAAAACCATCGATAACCATTGCAATCAGTAGGACTGCTCTGACCATATGGGCACAAGCATTAGCTGCAGCTCTTGGGCAGTAAAAATGTGTATCAGCCACCTGTTTTCATGGTCCCTTGGCTGCCCATGGATGGCTTTACAATCAACTTCTCTTATTTGATTCCATTTGGCCTGTTTTATATACCATTGGAAGCATTTTGTTATATCTAATGAGTGCAAATACTCAGAGGTCCCCTCTGCACGCTTTTGTGTTTCTAAAGAACCCTGCTAGAGTAGTTTAGTGAAAGACGCTGGGCAGGGCTGACATTCTTCAGTTCACAAAAAGCTGTGGGTTTTCAGGCCACATCAGGACTTTGGCACTGATTGCATTTCTGGCAGGTCAACAGGAATTCTTCTCATGTGCTAATTGGATCTTAAAAAGTCTATCTGCTCTGCATTTGATTGCATGCTCTCGTAAAGGTATTTGGTAACCTGCAGGTTGCATTGAAGTACTTTTTTTGCAGGTCCAGAACAATCCAAAAACCCAGCTCCTAGATGGGTTTTTCACAAAAGGGTGAAGAGTTTGGAGAAGGTTGGAGAAGTGAACAATCTAGGACAACATAGCTGATATGGAAACATTCTCCAATTCAGCTC